ACGGGTATCATATGGAGGCATGTTACAGTCCATTGTCATAACTATTACATTAATAAAAGTGTCATAATAACCATAAGCACTGTGAACATTTTAGTAAAGAAATGTATTTGAATATTTGATTATGAATTCAGTAAGAGATTATCTCTTAACCGGACAGAATTTCTCCTATCTTTGGGATCTTTTAGATTCTATTTGAAGTATGCCTATCTTCGGCTGAGCTTAGGGGTTTATTCGTGTCAAAACTTAAGTTTTTTTTCTTATTAAGTTTTTTATTGTCCAGTTTGATAGGCTGAGTTATGATCTGTTCCAATTGACACAAAAAGCACAGTCATGGAGCCAATTTAGTAGGCTTCTTGCGAAAATTTCATTTAATCTTACCTCATCATATAATAACCCCTTCCGAAAATAACTTAAACTCACGAAATAAATGTAATTTTCGAATTGAACATACATCATTGAGGTTTTATGTAGAGTGGTCCATTCTTCAAAGAAACTCTTTGTCATTAAAAAATCATTTAAATATATACTTCTGAAGAGATGTCCATATTAAGGAGAGATCAATCAACCATACAGTGAGTGAGAATGTTCTTTAATTTACAGAATGTTTTTAAGTTATAATATTCATCCTTTAAGCATTTCATTTTAAAAGCAAAATATATACACTCAAACTTTCAACATAAACATAATAAATATTAAACATAAAATTCATATTACAGCAAATAACTTAAAGGATTTTTGATAATTTACAATTTTTGTGGACCAATAAACAACAAAATGTTGCACTAACACACACATACATACACACTCTAACCAATATATTTATACTAATATTGACCAATTATAACATGAAAATGCTCTCAACATAAAATGTTTAATTTTTGAACCTTTTGACCATAAAATTTACTATTTGCTTATGGTTTGTACTTTGCCTTTTACTTTTAAGATATTTTATTCTTATAAAGTTATGTATGTATGTATGTGGTTTGAAATGTTTTCAGTTCTTTTTGTTGTTTCTTATTTCAACAATGGTCGAATAAGCTACAATTTTGTTGTTTGTTTCAATATATTTTTTTTTACTTTTTGTTAATATTAATGAGCTCATTTATACACCTGGCCTAAAAGAATTATTGCCTTATTAAACTTTTATGAGTTTTTGTTTAGGCAAATAGCCCAACCTACTTACAGCGAATACATGTTTCTATCAATGTTGGAGAAAAATAAGGTTTCATTTAGTTGTATTTTCTTAAAAGTGGTTAAGAAGAAAAGTCCTTTAAAAATTATAAATATATTATAAGAAATTTTCAAACATTCCTCGTACCTGCTTCAGTAGATTGTAAACAACTTCTCTTTCTATATTAAGTATTAACAAATATCGATAAGGTAAGTATGTAAGTGTGCTAAACATAGAAACCTAGTAAGTTGATTATATATTCTGTGAGTTTCTAGGGTAATTTTAATTTTGAGTTACTAGCCACATGTATACATATTTATTTGAGTGTTTTTCTCCAAAAAAGTACTTATAGAATTTCAACGTTTTTACATTCATATTACAACTACGCATTATATTTAATTACGTTTCGGTGTGTTTTATTTTATCAATAAGTAAGCAATACATGACCTTTTTTTCTTAATTTTTTTTTAGCTAAAGATTTCTTTTTGTTTGTAAACGTGTACGTCACATGAAACCGTCACTTCGTTTATTTCATTTCAAAAACACAAACACGTGCAATTATTTCAGCCAGTCTGGACATCATACACTGAATACACAATTATATTTTCTTTTCTAATAGATTTTGTTTAGATCTTTTTTAGGTTTACTAGATGTTTAATAATTACAAATAGAGAAAATAGTATCTAGATATTTTTATACGTTTTCTTTTTCAATTCTTAAGGTTTTTTTTGCTACACTACATATATTTATTTATGTAACACATCCAAATGTGTACAATTGATTTGTTTGAATTTAAAAGTTTTCAGTTTATGCATGAGTAAGCTTTTGTTGCTAAGCTATTAATTTTCTTATTTCTGTAATTTTTCTTTGAGGTACATAAAACTGTTCAAGGCGACCCAAGAAGTAGCACCTTATACAAAATAGGTTAGAATTTGCTACTGCACTGGACTTCCATGACGATGGGAGGTCCCTAACTAACTAGTATAACTAACTAACTAACTAACTAACTAACTAACTAACTAACTAACTAACTACTAACTAACTAACTAACTACTAACTAACTAACTAACTAACTAACTAACTAACTACTAACTAACTAACTACTAACTAACTAACTAACTAACTAACTAACTAACTAACTAACTAACTAACTAACTAACTAACTAACTAACTAACTAACTAACTAACTAACTAACTAACTAACTAACTAACTAACTAACTAACTAACTAACTAACTAACTAACTAACTAACTAACTAACTAACTAACTAACTAACTACTAACTAACTAACTAACTAACTAACTAACTAACTAACTAACTAACTAACTAACTAACTAACTAACTAACTAACTAACTAACTAACTAACTAACTAACTAACTAACTAACTAACTAACTAACTAACTAACTAACTAACTAACTAACTAACTAACTAACTAACTAACTAACTAACTAACTAACTAACTAACTAACTAACTAACTAACTACTAACTAACTAACTAACTAACTAACTAACTAACTAACTAACTAACTAACTAACTACTAACTAACTAACTAACTAACTAACTAACTAACTAACTAACTAACTAACTAACTAACTAACTAACTAACTAACTAACTAACTAACTAACTAACTAACTAACTACAACTAACTAACTAACTAACTAACTAACTAACTAACTAACTAACTAACTAACTAACTAACTAACTAACTAACTACTAACTACAACTAACTAACTAACTACTAACTAACTAACTAACTAACTAACTAACTACTAACTAACTAACTAACTAACTAACTAACTACTAACTAACTAACTAACTAACTAACTAACTAACTAACTAACTAACTAACTAACTACTAACTAACTAACTAACTAACTAACTAACTAACTAACTAACTAACTAACTAACTAACTAACTAACTAACTAACTAACTAACTAACTAACTAACTACTAACTAACTAACTAACTAACTACTAACTAACTAACTAACTAACTACTAACTAACTACTAACTACTAACTAACTAACTAACTAACTAACTAACTAACTACTAACTACTAACTAACTAACTAACTAACTAACTAACTAACTAACTAACTAACTAACTAACTAACTAACTAACTACTAACTACTAACTAACTACTACTAACTAACTAACTAACTAACTACTACTAACTAACTACTACTAACTAACTAACTAACTAACTAACTAACTAACTAACTACTAACTAATACTAACTAACTAACTAACTAACTAACTGAAGTTTCGCCAATTACAATTACTGTTAATTATAGTTAAAGCATTTCCAATTAAAATTACTTGTGTTTGTAATAGTTTCCCTTATTACAGCTTGTAATTTATAATTGGTAGACTTCAATTACAGATAATTGTAATTCGTTATTACTGAATTACACATTACAAGTAGTTATCATGGACCATGTAATGAACTACTTTGTGCATTTCTTCAAGCCTGGTTTTGTTATACATACCTTAATAAGTTGTTAATTAAATTTTAAACGTGTTTTCTGGAAAAACTTTAAAAGGTTATGGGTCGAGTCCCATGCAAAATATGGTGGAAAGAATATTGTTTTATTTATAGTGTTTATAAGTATATAGTTGTCGTTAGTAGCTTAGTATGAGGGTTAATCAGGTTCTATTTTCCTAATGAAGGACATATTTGGAATGGTAAAAATATATACAAAAAAAATTGCAAAATACCTTTACTATTATAATAATGTAGCGTGTAAAATCACATTCTTGTTCATATTAGAAAACCCTTTATCATTGCTTTTATAAATATTTTATGTCATTGTCTTATTACCTCCATTACAAATGATAAGGGTATAGAAAATATGTTCCTTTATTTATAAGTGCTCATCTGGAACGTTTACAAAATTTTCGTAAGCAATAAATTTTAATTTTTAAATTATTGGGGGCGGTTAAATTGCTTTAAAATTTATAAATAGATCTAAGAACTTATTTAAGAAAAAATGTTTTTTTTAAGAAATATTTATTATAAATTATTTACTTTTATTAGTCCGTTATGAGTCTATTTTTACATTTAAATTAAAATATAGATTTTGAAATACCTGCAAAATATTCTATTTTTTATAATAAAGAATAACAAAGAAAAGAAACAATTTTTCTTGCTTTACTAAATATTAGCCCTTGCTTCATTATTATATTATGTAAAATCAAATATTGTCATGAATCTTAATGTCATTCAAATTTCCTAACAACGTAAAAACTTGGCCTTGAAAAGTATACACTCTCTTTCTGTTATTACTTTATACTAAATAATTTTGCAAATGTATTTTTTTTTTTTTTTTTTTTTAATAGTTGAAAATGTAGACTGTTTTTTTCATTTTCTTTATTAACTATATGGAAGAAACATAATACAGTTAATGTGACCTTTAAGGTCAATGTCGTTGTGTTTTTCCACGTTTGTTTATCATTGTGGATTTTTTTTTTGTATTATTGGATCAAGGGCGTTATTTAAAAGTTTTGCATTTATTATTTTTTTTTTTTTCGTCCTATATTTTTTGTCAATCAAATATGCTGGTGGCAATATTTACTAAAAGTTTTTAGACATTATATAAATATGTGCCGCTATACTAAAGTGTCAAAATTAAAAGTATGATGTCAGAGACAAGGTGATTTGATTAAGAAAGTTAGTGAGTAAAAGTTATAATTTCAAGCTGTCCATTAAATAAAATTTGATTATTTTTTGAGGTTTAAAGTGTTTTTCTTCTGTTTTTATAATTTTTTGGTAAAACTAAATTTTTGTTTAGGGTTTTTAATATTTAGTATAGAATAATTACTTACTTTATGATTTCAAATTTGTTGATCTGCAATTAAAAAGCAAGAAAAACATTTATTTTATTTATATTCCAGTAGATAAGTGTAATTTATTAAGAATGTGTATTTGAATTTATTAGTTAAGTTAAAAGTTAGTTTGTAGAAATTTAATTTCAAATTTCAGAGGGAAGCATATTAAGAAGGACGCTCTTTTCAACCTATCTTTATTGGAAGATACCCTCATCATTTGCAATGATGATGGTATGGAGATGATGTTTGTTTATAAATCTGAAACATTTTGAAATTTCCTTACGCTTTAAATTAAATGAGATGGTTTTAACAAGTATTAGGTGTATAGTTTAAAAATGCGGGCTTTATAATAGAAATACGACCTCCGGACGGACAGACTAGAACATTACCAACAAACTTACCGAAGGCACTCTCCTCATTTAGTTATTGAATCTTATATATTAAGTAGGAATGTTTTTCTTCAAAATGTAAAAGTTGGTGCTCAATGTAGTGTTTCATTAGTGCGAGATTCCTTTGTGCGGTTTAGAAGTTGTGATTTTGATGCAGAAGGCAATGATGGCTCAGGCCAGTCAAACTAGTGATTGACATATAACATGAAAGTTATTGTTAAACTAACCAAGAGCTTGCAAAATCATTAGGATAACCCGAAGTGTAAGTGATCGTATGTGGCAAATATCCGTAACGCTAAGGTAATGCTCTTTAATTTGAGGGAATCTGTAATGAATACAACATTTGCTTGAAGCGAGCATTAACCAAAAACGCGAAAAATATGCGGTTAGCCTAATATCCCATCATAACAACCCTTGGACCTGTCAAAAACTATTTTAAAAAAGTGGTTGGGAAGATTTGCATTAACCGCCTTACACCCCCCCGGGTCATGTTTCCATGACGAAATGTCCCATCGTGGTGTATTGCAATCCCGGGGTAAATAGGTGCTACCAGTACCTCTAGTCTGCCGGGACTGTAAACTGATGATGTCACTTCACTCCTCGGCTAGTCCTTGGTACGGGTGGCCAGTTGCCCGCAGGACTATGTCCTGGTTGGTCAGTTGGTTGAGGTTCTTCGGAATCCACGTAGGGGCTGTGGTTTAAACCCAAATTCGCGGGGAGAGTAAGTGGCGTTTAAAGGACTGATGTTAAGTAAAGTCAATATTTCGAGATAAGTTCTTTGCTGTTGCCGAAACAACAGATACCCTACAGAGGAGTGACTGTGGGACTAAGCGTTGGAAATGAGCTGGTGTTAATTGTATATGGTACGGGATGAATGTAGGCTAGGCGGGCCTCAACCACCCGTTTACCTAGAATAAGTATGTTGTATGTTCTTCTCTTACGAATGTGCCGGATGAATGAGAAGTGAGAAGGGTTGAATGATGATGGATGAAATGTATCATATACAGATGATACCATAGAATTTTCCTTCTTTGTCCAGATATGTTCAGAGTAAACTCTGTTCATATCAGAATTACCACAGTGTATCAATGTGAGTAAGAACAAAGTCTCGACTTATTTGATGGATTCGTACTTCGGTCTACCGGTTACGTCTCTAGGTGCCGTTGCCAAGTCAACAGAGGCCATCTCATCTGCGTGGTTTACAACCAGGAAGTGATGTTTTATATCTCTTTTTTTAAATTAAACAAAATTTAAATAAAAAAATATAAAAATATATTTGTTTAAATACACTACTTTGAAGTGTATATGTATAAGGATCTTTCACAATTTAAAATGTTTTACAACCAATTGAAAATTTCTTGTCACGTTATAATAGTATTTAAAATAATAACATAAAGATAAAGAATTTCATTAATAATATCATTAAATTTTTCTTATAGACCCGCCTATAAGTATACTATAGTTTTAGCTTCTTTAACAATATCACAGCGTATAAGTTATACGCACATCACTCATACGCAGCCACATACTTAGCACTTATATGTAGCAGTTTTATTAATGGCAAATGGCAAATGTATAAATTAAAAAATGGAGTGAAAAAAGACAAAAAACTACAACAAAAATGGGAAAAAACACATCCTTATATAGATTATTTATAACGCAATTTATGCTCGATAAGGCGCCAATGTAATAAAAATGAATTATGTTTTCAGTTCAAATTCAAACACATTCACATAAATACAGCGATAACAAGGCATACGTATACATATTAAAACATAGAAAAAGATATATTTCCAGAGGAATATACATACATACTTGGTATGATAACTAAGGACATGTATCTAAATGTATATGTATATACATATATATATGAGTGTATATATGTGTATATTGACAATCATATATATGAATTGTGAATTGTTTCAAACTTATGTATTTGTTTGTTTTTTGTACAAGTATTTGTAAGAATCCTTCCTTAACAAGACATATAAAAAACAAAACTAAACTCATTGCCACTATATAAGTATGTATTTGTGTGTAGGTTGGATTGTCTGTGGTATAGGGACATGTTAGAAGAAACAGTAGCTTTAGATAGCAATGTAACGTAATGGTGCTAGAAATAAAAATTAAATTCACTTTTATTTTTATACGCACGTGATTCAAATTGATGATAGAAAATAATAAATACTATGAATACTTATGTACCAGCATTCTCATATATATTTTGATTTTGTGAATGTGTGTTTTTACTTTTTTAATAAACAAAAATTAAGGTGGTACTTGTTTTAAAAGCTAAATGTATCTGAACTGCTTAAAAACTATTGTGAACCATTTAATGAATAGATCTTTTGATTTTTAGTCGGTGAGTATACAAGGAAAGAGTGGAAATTTTGAGGACTTTCAACTCTAGGGAATACATATTTGGCGTTGCAAAAAGCTACACCCTAATATCAACATTAATACTTATATGTACAGTACATTATTACATATGTATTTTATATATAAAATGCTTATATATCTGTAATACATGTTTGCAACATAAACACATAGTTATATGAAATAACATAATGGCTGCCAGTGTGTGGGTAATGGTCATTAACACATTTTAAGTATAAATATCAGTCATAATATTTTTGTGTCGACAACGCGAACATGAATTAGTATTCTATTTCATTAAATTTTATTTTTATTATTTATATGCTCATGTTTATACATATGAAAACCTTTAATAAATATATAAAAAATTATTTATAAAATATGCAAAATTTTTCATATACTTATTACTTTTATACCAGTTATTACTTTAAAATTTCTGTTTTAGATTTAAAAAATTTTAAATTTTTATACAATGACAGATTTACGCAAATATTATTAAAATATAATTATAAATTAACATTTTAAAAAGCTTTTATATTTATAAACAATCATATTTAAAATAGTTTAGAAAATTTGCAAAATTATTTGATTGTATATTTTAATTACATTTTAAGTTAATTTAAAGCTGAAAATTGTTGTAAACAAGTAGGAGTGGTACCCTTGACAATAGCATGCTTTGATTTTTTTTTATAAAAAAAAATAAATTCTTAAATTATTTAACAAAGAATAAACAAGAAGTGAAACGCTGTCATTTTTTTACAACAATAACATTACGCTCTTCTCACAGACGAGTGCTGTGTAAATCCAACACATATGTAAAAATTTTATTCTCTCTCCAAACTTCAAAACTTTTTCGCGAAAATTTGAGGATAATAGCACTTTGAAATATTTTTTATCACTTAACATTATATTTTATAATTTTTTTGCAAAATTTAAACACATTTAATAGCCCGAAAATAATATATTTTTTACAAACGAAAAAAAAATATTTTTTATTTTTTGACATTGAATTTTTGTTGGTTGAAATTAAAACTAAAAAAAACAATGTTGTAAATTTTCGTATGGTAAACGAAAAAGATATTTCAAATAAATAATTTATTTTTTCAATATTATAGATTAAAAAACAAATAGACGTGTTTATAAAATGTTTGTAGATAAAATATGTGGAAAATATCTTAAGAAACCTTTCAAAGTATAAATTGAAATGTAATATTTTTTTTCAATATTTTTCAATACGATTTTTTGCAACTATGTTGACTTGAGAATTCTACTAATACATTCTTAGAGTTAGGTACCGGATGACAGTAGACTTAGGTACTTTTGACAACAGTTTCTTTTCTTATTTATTCTTTGTTATTTAATTTAATTTTTTTCTGATTTCAATCGTTAACAGTGACAAATATTGTGTATAATAGAAACAAGTAGGAAAATGATTCTGAGCCGTTCGATCGATTAAGGTGGATGTAGAATCAATAATTTTGTGCGTTACAAACATCAGCAACAAGGCACAATTCCATCCCTCCCAATATGGTGGTGTAGGGTATAAAAACATGTGCTAAATGTTGTTATTTTTAGCTTGTTTATACTTAAAAACAAGAAATTATAGTCGGGCGAGGGCGACCATATAATAACCTACACCAGTTATAAAATAAAATATGATTTAGTTTTCATAATTAAGCATTTAAGTGGAATTGTACCTTGCCACAAATATGTGTACTTAAGCCATTTATTGTTGAATAAAATCGTGGACATTTAAGTTATAATTTGAAGGGGGTTTTGTATAGGGGCTAGGGTCAAATGAGGCCCATATTGTGTTTTCATTGTGTTTTGCTTTATAATCACAAAAAGTCTTAGTTTTTGAAAATTTGTTAACGGTTGCTGCCCGATGGACCAAGTTTTATATCAAACAACTTCCCAATATCAATGGAGAAATAGATTGATATTACGGACATAGCGTAATCGACTATATCTATGGATCCAGAATATACATATCGTCACCTAAAACGCAAACAGCCCTATCTAACATTTTTAAAATTTTACAGGAGAAGCAAAAAAACTATTAAAATTGAAAATTTTGTTTCTATCAACGCTATTTATTTGTAGTAAATAAACGAATTATTTAATAGTGAAAACTATCATTTGTTATGATAGTTGACAGTGGCGTATATAAAAATGGATTAATTGGACTTTTTACCTTTAATATTTAAATGTTTTTGTAGATGGGGCCTGTGGATATTTATTTTGACGCAATTCAT